TCTGAGCCACGCTTGGCGCAATAAACCTTCCCTGCTTGACTGTTTATAATTAGCCACACAAAAGACAAAATACATGACAAGAAACAAGCGATCAGACATGATAGGTCATTTGCATTCAGCTTCAATGAATACATGCCATATATTGTGAATAACGGCGAGTGAAAATGGCGATCTAAATGCGAAAATGACAATATAAACTTACGGACATTTCACTCTTCGTTATGAGGCTAATTTAACACAAGTTCCTCTACCATTGTCATGTATATTGCTCATCTGCTTGTTAAGTGTGTCAACTAGACATATCACTGACGGTCACCCTGCCACCCCTCCTTCCCGGCTCCGACCCTTCACCTAGATTCTCACACTGGAGAATGACAGAGACAGAAATACAGAATCACGGGACTCGAAACACAGCTAAACTGTCTACACATCGAAAAACTACTTTATTCCTTCAAGTACCGTTTAAACTAATCAAAAAATAACAGAAGCAACGCAAAAGAAAAAAACAGAAATGACACTGAACACTGAGTGCAAGCTAGTAAACCTAGCTAGCTAAATGTTAGCTACAGTTACACCAACAGTAAACTACGTCACCATGCCGGGAATAAAGAAACGTGTATGCAGAGTTAATGCAGCGTCTTTTCTCATTCTGTTTTTATTATTAACACTGACTCCTGTGTTTCAGCTTACCTGTTTTTGTGTTGTGCCTTTGCTCACACTGGTTCCCCGTCGGACGATCGGCCAGACTCTGCAGGACTACAAAAATCGCTTTTAAGGACCTAGTCTATGACAAAGCTGACCAGCAATGTGCCTGAAAACAATATATCATTGTAATTATTCAAAAACAAATAATTACATACTTAGTATTATTTAAGAGCAAGTTTAACTTAATATCATGTCATTGGTATCACATGTGTGTAACTATTCTAGAAATAAAAGAAATATTTGAAAATGTGCCATTTTATGCTAAGGCGATGTTGAGGTCCTTTTTCAGTTTGCAGTCGTCGGCACACTGTGTCCACTGCAGTGAAGTTATTGAGAAGCTGAAGTTAGTGGTGGGAACAAAAAGCTGACATCCCAGCAAGGATCAAGGATCAAAGATACTTACTGTCATTGCATTTCTACAACGAAACTTTATTGGCACTTGAAAAACAACACAGAGTATAACAAAGAACAACAAACAGCTTTATACAAACAAGTATTAAAAAATAAATACAAGTATTTCAAAAAGTGTAAAGAGTGTAATAGTGCGATGAAGTGCAATGTCTGCTTTACAGTGTCTGATGCAAGTGAAACAAATAAAAATGCTTAGGTTGAGATGGTTGTTGCACATGAACATGTTTATGGTGCATCAGTGGGTCTCCTTCTGACAGCAGGGGTGTGTGTTTCAGCTCTGGGTTGTGCCTGTTTGTGGGCGGGGGAGAGGGAGGGAGGTGGTGCAATGGAGGCTACAGCTCTGGAGAAAAAAGCTGTTCCTCCGCCTGCTCGTCCGTGCTTTGATGGCACGGTACCTCCTCACCTGGGTGGCTGATGTCCATGCAGATGACTCGTGCTCTTCTCTGCATTTCTCTGTGTAAACACCAGGGGGCGTAGTCCGTATATTATAGGGCTTTAACACACCAAAGTTAAACTTGTCTCAAAACCAAACCGCACTTCAAAATTATTGTTTGTTTAGAGAGTTAAAGTGGACCTGTTCATGTTGAGCATTTCTGTATAGATGCAAGTTCCCCCAAAAGTTTACTTGGGTTAGCCACCAGCCATCACACTTCTGGGACCCTTCAAGAAGCTTC